CTTATACGTGTGCCGAATGTTGGCGTGATAAGTATGGAAGTATTGTCAGGGAATGTGATATGAATAAAGGGCGATATTGAAAAGGCTTCGACAAGTACATAAGTGTGTGTGAATAGAGATGGAAACGCAATTCGTCAATATGAAACCACTCAGTAAAGAAGTCGATGTTGTGCGCAAAAACAAAATTAATGAAATCTCAAAAAAGTATAAGAAAAAAGTATCTAGCTCTGAAATTGGGAAAGTGAATGATCCGAACGAGTTATGCGACAAACGCTTGGTAAAGGTAACGATAGCAATGATGTTGGTTCCAGCATTCTACAAACCTACGCCATCGATACTCATCATTGGATATATAATGACAAGCCTTTTGAGTATGTATATTGGGATGATTCAAACGTGTTATGCAATAGATTAAAGCTGCTTATAGCTTCGAAAGATGCTGGAAATACGTCACATGACAATGAATTTACAGCTATATTCAATGAACTCAGAGAAGCCGACATTATTCAGTAATAAATCATCCATAAATGACATGTATTGCATTCCAAAAATATAATGCGATAAATAATGCAGAACTGACGTGAAAATCGCACCAAAAAAATGTCAAAAATTTGATGCGTTCAAATGTACAGTTTTGTCAAAACTATCGCATCGAAAAAAACCTATTTTTCAAACCATCATTTCGTGCAAAAACCCATATGATTTGCATTGTAACACGCTATGAAAAATAATGCAAAAAACGACGCGAAAATCTTGTCAGAAAAATGCCAAAAATTTTATGCGTTAAAACGTTCATTTTCGCCCCAAAAAACGTATCAAAAATTCAACAAAAATTCAATGCGTTGAAAGGACCATTTTTGAACACCCTAATCACGTTAAAAACGCATATTTTTGGAATCATATCGATGTGTGTAACAATTTGTATCATGACTATCGACAAGTTCGGACGTAGCTCCAATAGGAAGCGAAACCATTTTGCAACATCAACAGTAGGCAATAGTGGAGGTTTGCTGCATACCTCCGATGGCAACATTGATTTCAAATTTATAGAAAATGTACTGGTAAAGCTCATTTCGCTGGTGTCAGTCAGCCTGAACAGATGTGAAAAATGGAAAAATTCATTATCAAAAAGGAGTATGTTAAGAACAGTCGCCGTTTAGGTGTTCAAGGAAGAACTATTGAGTTCACAATTAAACCTATACCAAAAAGAGCCGAACCTACACGATGGGTGAAAGATGCCATCGAAGGAATTGTGGAAAAAGGCATGGAAGGTTTGCATCCTACAGACCAAGTCGGATTCACTTTTTGCTCCAAGGACTTTGCTCGCGGTCAAGGATGGATGCGATTCAAACCAGCTAGTGAAGTTACTTCTGATGATATTTGGGAGAGAATTTCTTCAATATACCAGTCCAATTCGACGGGTCTCAACACCGAAACTTTTTGTTTAGGCATAACAAGCGTCAGGATACCCAAGTGATCTAAAAATCAGCTGATTATCACACTATATCAGATGGAGTTAATGTGAAAAATTGTCATTAATTGTTTAGACGTCGAAGAAGAAGATGTTATCAAAAAGTCAATCACTTTGTGATAATTGTTACATTACTTCCGGTAAAAATGATGGCAATTGGATACCATTCAACACAGAATCTTGGGGCTCGTATGAAGAATTTGAGAAATGGCAATATAACTATGACAGGAGACTGGTCTTGTGTGAAATATGTGGCAAAGTGATGGGTCGTACCGGTATATACAAACATATGAATAATGTACATAATATATACAATTTTAAAGTTGTATTCGCATAAAACTTAAGAAGACGCACCCAATGTCTGGCGAGGTACTCTAGTAAAAAAAAATTGTGTACCTTTTCATTTAACAATAAATCTTATGCAAAATTTCATTCAAAAAAAGTGTTGAAGAACGCTGGAGAAGGACGAATTACCAATAGAATTTTTCCAAAAAAAAAAAACGACATCACTAGGACTTTCGTTACTTTGATGAAAATGTGAAAAATGCTCGCTCAGTAGGTATCTCGTGGAGTTTTTTGTTTCAACAGCGAAGGACTTTTTAGATAGTAAAAAAAAATGTTGTTTTTCAAATTATCATTTTGTTAATTTTGAATAAAAATTGTCTCACATTATTTATTTTTTTTTTCACACACACACACACATTGACCTCAATGCATAAGACTGCATCAAAGATAATATTTATTGTTCATCGTAAAAACTGCAACGCTAATTAGACGCTTATTGACCGATTTATCAGCGTGGTCGGAGACAAAAACCCATTTCATCAGGTTATCGCACACTTTTATCTTTTATCACCGAAACAAAAATTTTGTACTTGAAAATACAAAAGGAAAAATATTTGAAGGAAGAGATTTTTTTTATAAACAATTTAGGAATTTGTTTTTTTTTGAGAATGTTACACTAATGAAGAAGTATTCAGATAGCATTTGTCTGACATTTGCGAAAACAAAAATTTCGTACTCATAAATACAAGGTGATATTTTTGCAAAAAAAATTAGTAGTTGTTTACAGCTGATTCTCGGCCTCCCCCCACCACTATGACGTATTAATTGCTTTTTTATTGGTTGTTGTTTGGTGAAGTCAAGATGATGTGACCTTGAAGGGTGTAGTGTATGGATCGTTCAGAAAATTTTTCCCGGTTCTAATCCTCCCCCCACCAATATGACGTGTTATTTGCTTTTTTTGTTGTGCAGTGAAGTCAAGGCGTTGTGACCTTGAAGTGTCTGGTGCATGGATCGTTCAGATTTTGTTATATTTGAATACACTTATGAGTCATGGGATGTGGTAGATACAATTTCGCGCCATTTTTTTTTTCAGCTGGGTGTGGCACTTGTGGCGTCATCTCATATGATTGTTTATATAGAGGTCGCTGACGGCTGTGAAAAGCCGGCCCAAAAACAAGGTCTTCACTGAAAACACAGTTATAAAATGAAACGCGTGAACGAATTTTGATTTATTTCGGAGGATATTTTTGCTGATGTATGACAAATAAACTCGCTTTTATTTTTGATCGTATGATCCAGATGTCTAGGAAGGTCGCTCAAGGCGGGAAAAAAAGCCCTTCGAAAATTAGGTTTTTCATGGAAAAACACAGTCATAAAATGAAACGCGTGAATGAATTTTGATGTTTTTTTGTTCAGGAGTATATTTTTGTTCATGTATAACAAATAAACTAGATATTTTTGAGGGTTTTTCGAAACTATTACATGTACCGGACACGTGATCAAACCCCACCTATATATTGACGAAGATAAGCATTTGAGCTCAATGTGATCTTGTCAGTCTTCCTGTTCAAAAAAAAGTGAAAAAAAGTGCCTGAAATGGAAAAGTTTGTTATCATTGGAGATTTAATATGCAAAATTCATAAATATGGTGTTCAAGGAAGATCTCTAGAATTCAAAATTAAGCCTGTACCTAAAGGAGTTGAACCTACACGATGGGTGAAAGATGCCATCGAAGGAATTGTGGAAAGAAGTGTGGAAGGTTTGCATCCTACCGACCAAGTCGCATTCACTTTTTGCTTCAAGGACTTTGCTCGCGGTCAAGGATAGATGCGGTTCAAACCGGCTAGTGAAGTTACTTTTGATGATATTTGGGAGACAATTTCTTCAATATACCAGTCCAATTCGACAGGTCTCAACACCGAAACTTTTTTGTTTAGGCATAACAAGCGTTAGGATTCCTATAGGAAAAGGACGCCCTCGCAAGTTCAACAATTTTCAAGAGGAGTGTTCCAGCCGAAGAGGAATTATTTCAATAAAAAACATTGATAACCTCTGTCTTCCTCGTGCACTCGTTACGGCAATGACTTTCGTTGACAAAGACTCCGACTTCACCAAAGTTCGTCAAGATATTGGAAAGTTGCAAACAACAAGAGCTACACAACTGATACAGAAAGCAGGCGTTTATATACCTGAAGAAGGCTCGGGCATCCCCGAACTGCAAAAATTTCAAGCCTGTTTACAAGATTACCAAATTGTTGTGTATCAATATGAAACAAAGGGTCGTGACGTAATGTTCAAAGGACCCGACAGCGACAAAAAGCTAAACCTTTTGTACCATGAGGAACATTACAATGTCATAACATCCTTGACAGGGGCTTTCGCTTATGAGACGGTGTATCGTTGTAGAAGGCTCCAAACGTAATGTTGCTATCTATATGTATGGTACGTACTTTAATGATATTCACAGGTAGATCGGATGCGTACTGCAAATAGCTTGGCTCACATTTTGGGTTTTTCGTCTACCCTTCTCAAGCACAACTTATGTACTTGCGAAGCTTTTTCAATATCGCCCTTTATTCAAATCACATTTCCTGACAATACTTCCATACTTATCACGCCAACATTCGGCACACGTATAAGTTCTTTGGGTATCTTGGAATATGTCTGACACAAATAAATAACATCAATGTCCTTATGCCGACCCATGGAATAATATTCACGAATTTTTTGCTGACCATCACAAGCTACATCATCGAATATGATCTTATCAAAAAACACAATTTCTTTTTGCAAACTCGTTATCAAAACCAGTATCAAAATAAATTTTCCAGTTTAGTCATTACCACAAAAATCTTATTTTAATTATCTACCACAAAATTCTCCCGTCCACGCTTCTGTCTACTATTTAATATATGTTCTTTTACGTTTACAATCAATTGTCAGTTTTCACTTCGAGTCGACAACAGTTAGTATTTTAAAAGCTGTAACAATGAGTGATGAAAAAAAATGTGAAATTTTTTATTGATAATGAAACTGTAAAATTTTGGAATTATATTGCAATCAAAACAAACAGATACACACACCCAATGTGTTTTTGGACGTATTTGGAAGAAAAGTATGTATACTCAAATGTATTTGTTGTGTGTTTTATGGTTTTTGAATTTTACAGTGATATTGATTTAGATGACATGCCAAGTAGTATTGAATTACCTGACTATTTAGTAAAAGAAAAGATTGAAAGAAGCAAGACTTTTATTTTGGCAATACATTTCCAAAAAAATTCAGAACTTTACTCGTGCTCGGAATCTATTAGGGTATTTGTTGGACAAGTATGTATTTTGGTTAATGTTTACCGTGTTTCTAATTGAGATTTTTTATAGTGATTTAGACTTATCTGATATGCCCAAAAACATTTCAATACCTGTGGAGGTATTAAATTCAATGGAAACAAAGAAAGAAGTGATTGAGTAAGTTGATTCATTTCTTTCACAACTGAAATTTAATATTGACTTTGTCTTTAGATCTGAACCATCTCAACCCTCGGAATATGAGAACAACCTGAACCAACAGTCACAACTAATTGATAAATCATGTCTAAATATTTTGTGAGTTGTTCAAAACTATTTTCAGTATCGAAAAATTTCATTGTGAATAATTTCAGCTCTCCAAAAACTGTGACGATGTCCCCCGCTCCACCCACATTACTGCTATGTATTACAAATGTAACGAAATGATGCAGATCACTCCTGAATAAATGATACATTTTGCTTATCAACCGAAAACATTATTAAATGAATAACATTTTTTTAAAAATGTTTTCGATTTTATTTGGCAACCATCATTATCTGAATTTCAAGAACGAAATAGTGATTGCGTTTTAAGTGGTATAGTCAATTTGGAAATTAATGGTTCATCTTTCATTGAACTTCCACATCAAATTGCAAAAAAAAACATGCATGTATCAATATTAAAAATAATGCCAATGCCTGATTCTCTTTTTTGTTTGAAATTCCAGTGAAGATACATTCAGCCACATGCCAAATGCCTTCTGAACTAAATGCGATACTTATTATCTAGCGAAGATACATACTAGCGAAAATTCGTTTTATTCCATTTACCTCCAACTCGGAATTCATTTTCAGCATGTTGCATCGAGGAAATTCTAACAAATGGGCTGTTTCATTGTTGATTGTGACATCTATTGGTGAATTATAACGTTCTTGAAAAAGTCTGAGTGCATTTTCAAAAAATTTGATTGTGTATTATTGTCAACATAACCATACTTTTCAAAATATTTTTTGCACATCAACTTACGATGGCTCGGCCATAGCCGAACTCAGTACCAAAAAAAATAACAACCGTCTTGAAATGAAATGAACTGATCAAACCTAAAAGTTTTTTATTTGTAATGAACTGAATATTATTATTTTGAAACATTCAACCTAATATATTACATGACAAATATTTCCCTGACTGAGAAGATTTTCCAAGTGATTCTGTCGCTGACGTTTTCGTATTACTTTTTTCTTTTTTGACAAAACGAAAACATACGGTTATATCAAAATTTCATTTTTTTTTAAATACCTACATACTCTTTTTTTCGCTTTCACCAAAACAAAAAAAACAATACTTTTTATTGGTCTCAATTACAATTCGAGTCGATTTATAAAATTCCGATAACGTTCGTTGTTTGCGATAATATTTTGCGGTCGTTCACTTTCCATTTCAACGGTTAACAAGTCGCTTCCATTTCACTTTCTACACATACACACATTCCATTTTTTTTATGCCGAAATGAGAGAGTCTTATTTTTTCAAAATCTTTTTTTTGGGGCTCAAAACGACTGAAAATATTGTACCGTCTGTTCATGGTTGGTCGATAAACGTCTATTGGGTCTCGCTGTTGACTGCGAAAAACTTTGCGAAGTCGGTGGGGGTTGTCATGTTGTTCTGGACGATAGCGGTCGCTGTTTGGCGGTAATCGTTTTCTGCGGTCATGGAAATTTCACTTTGATATCGACGTTTATGTATTGCTGTCATAATCTTTCGCTACATTCAGTCAGTCGGTAGCCAAGCGGTTCGGCGTGGGTGCTTTGTTCACTCACACGAATTGACCGCCGTGTTGGTCGGTGGTTCAAGCCCTAGTCTGAACGATCGATCTTCACTTGCTACCGTCCAACCCGTGTTAGGAATCACACGTTAAAAGGTAAGACCTCGTTAATCCTTAGCTCGCACAAGTTTCGACTTCTGAGGGTTGTCGTTCGTAGGGGTGCGACAGCTGGTTAACGGAAAAACAGATTTTAAACAGATTCACTTATGTTTCACTTTGAGAGCTTCTACATTGTCTCTGAGGTCTTTGACCAAAAATCAGTCCACACCCCGGTCGTAATTTGAGGGACCACTCCCAAATCGAAGACCCAAATCGAGGTCCAAATCGAGGGGCCAAATCGAGGTCCCAAATCGAGGGTCCAAATCGAAGTCCCAAATCGAGGTCCCAACATCAAGTCCAAATCATGCACCCACTCCAAATGAATGACTCCTGGGTGCAATAGACAAAGCGATACGAAATGGCTACTCGAAACGAACATCAAAAATCGAAGACCCCGCCCCAAATAAAAAAAACCAAATCAAGGACTCCGCAACAAATCACTCACCAAATTACAAATGACTTAACAACCCTCCCAAAAAATCGATGGCCCGCTCGAGGTCCAAAATTTGGGATTTATGACCCCCACCATGCGACACTTGGTAAGACCATTTCAAACATTTCTCTAGTTCTTTCAAGATCTCACGTTGGTGTCAAACCTAAGGCTCTCGCCTGGCACGCCGACGACCTGGGTTCAATTTCAACATAAAACTCTTTATTTATTCAGTTTCAAAAAAATAATTATAGGCGGCGGACGCGCTTGATAGCGTGATAACCTGACAGTTCCCCCCCCTGACACTGCTATCTGATGTTGACAGCTGACAGTGCTTCCGACCACGTGATTCAAAATGGCCGACCTGCTGGCGGAGCTTAATTGGCAAGGGTGTAACAAATGGGCGGAGTATGGCTTCGATAGGTGACAACTGGGGGAGTTGATGGATCCGTGACTGGTTGACCATGTGCGGAAGGGGGCGGGGCTTCACACTGATTACCTGTTGCGGTCAAGGGGTGCTTGATTCTGATTGGCTGACGGGGCAGGGGATAAAAAAGTGGAGTGGGTGCTTGATTCTGATTGGCTGAGGGGGCGGGGCTAAAAAAGTGGAGGAGGTGCTTGATTCTGATTGGCTGAGGGAGCGGGACTTGAAAAAGTGGAGGGGGGTGCTTGATTCTGATTGGCTGAGGGGGCGGGGCTAAAAAAATGGAGGGGCTGGTCTATAGTGCCGTTATAACTGCTGACGGTGTCGCCATTGACACTACTGGCGCTAACACCAGCGCCACAAGTGCTAGAGCTTGCCGGAGAGATCGCGCCACCAGTGCCAGTGCCAGTGTCGAAGCCTATCGGAGGGGTGAGTGAATGCTTGAAAACTTTCTTTCGGAATTGCGAGAAAGCAGAAGATGCTTCTCGATCTGGTGAGGCCGCGTTGGTTGACATTTCTCGCAATGAAGCGAGACTTGTCAGCCGACGAAGTGAATTGTTGAAAGAATTGGCCGAAGTAGATCGGGAGATTGCATCTCTGGAAGAAAGTCGTAACGTGGCGACCTCTTCGATAGAGCGATATCGAACAATTACGGATATAATTTATAAAATTGATTTTGTAGAATATATTTAGATTAGTTAGTTAGTTAGTGTTATTATCATTTGTTTTTTATTTCAATTCCATGCTCTTCTAGACAAACACCTCACATCAATTTTTGTGTTCTCAAATCACTTGTTAATAATCTCTTGAGAGGAAAATGGAAAAAAAAAGGTATGTTTCATAATGAAATCAAAAAATATAATTTCATATAATTCATATTGTATTTTATCCATTCAATTAGCTTATGTCATTTTGTAATTAATTCCCACTCAATCCCCACTCCCTTTCAAAAGTATAAAAGTAGGAATTATCTGTTGGTATATTCAGTTGATCACTCACCTCCAATATGGAACCTGACTCAACTAGTGAACCATATAGCGTTCAGGATCTTCAGACACCATTTTGGATGCCGATTCATCAGCCCTTAGTCCACTCGACGACAGCACCTCACAGTATTGCATATGATAACATAATATACGATTATAGACTTCAGGTGCAATTTGTTACCAGCAGTGATGAGGCGCACCTTTCAGACAATGAATATCCGGACCCAAACGATTGGCGGGATCCCGATTGGGATGACCTAGTGCCTGGGGACAGCGATGATAACGATGATGCTGGCGATGACGCTGACGATGAGTCTGAGGATAGACGTCCTCCACCATCCCCCATCCTGATTGATGATGAAGTCCTCAATTCAGATGATGATTTCTAATCATTTCCTCGTTTCTTCCATCCTTTCCTTTCCTTTCCTTCCACGGAGTACACACTTTTTGGTTGGTGTACACGAGGCACTGCGAGGCTGGGGCAGTGTCTTCCTCCCTCACTTATTAGTTTTTTCATAATAATCACTCAGAATTCCTCATAATAATCGCTCAGAGTTTCATGAAGATCGTCATTCTTGATGTTTCCGAATATCAAACACTGAATTGTTCTACATTTACACTTCACCCCCTCCGTTTTATTTTTTCCAAAATAAATATAGTATCAATCCCAGTTCTACATCATTCTTCCACATTGTCTAGTACAGGACCCGTCCAGGCACATGAAATAGATTCAACGTCCGATCATTTCAGTACAACCTTCGCTCAATTTCTGCAGCGAACCTATGATCTTCCTGATGATTTCCCAGAACGAGTAGAACAAGGCATGCAGGGGAAAGTAGATGTAGAGTTTAAGATGGCTGTTGACGACAACAAACTAGATGATTATGCGGACGATGTGATTAGTATATCATCTGATTCAGATGATTATGAGGACGATATCATTAGTATATCATCTGATTCAGATGACGACACCATCATTATTGTTTCTGATGATGAGGAGCGTAAGTCCATATCATTGCATGGATTAATAAAAAAACAACTCTTTTCAGGGCTACAATTGAAGACTGAAACAAAAAAAACAGCTCTATTCAGAGCTATCATTATACTTTCAAACAGAAACAGGTTCATTCTATTGTTAACATTATAGTCTCAAACAAACAAAATGCATGTAGAAGTACCATAATCCCACTCTGTAGTACTCATCATTATATGCATTCAATGATCGACAAAATGCCAACTTAAACTTTCATTTAAAGTAGTACTCATCATATGCATGGATATTCAATGACTATCAAACTCCCAACTTCGACTTTTCAGTCAAAGAAGTACTCATCATATGCACAGATATTCAATGATTAACAAAATCCTAACTTCGACTTTTTTAGTCAAAGTAGTCATTTGTCACATAATCTGTGAATTCTACTATTACTGTTTGTGTGAATTATGTAGCCCTGAACAGGGCTGTTGGTTTTTTTTACTACCCTCCATTGTTATTTCTGTGTGAATAAAAATGGAAGCAGCACCAACATAGTTTCTCGTTACCACTATCAATTGTGCTGATCAAGACGTATGCATCCATTGCACAATATAAGTCCAATGGATCTTCTAATGTCTCACTGACATTGAGCATTCGCA